AGATGGCACACCAATGCGTAAAAGTGTGAAGTACAAAGATTTAATTATACGCCATTTTATTGTACCATCAACAAGTGTCAAACGCACAAAGTGATTTGATTGAAAAGTGTTTGCATAGTATTATGTTGCTGTGTTTAATATATGACGAAATTTGTATCAAATAAGGAGCATTCGTGGACAGCATTTTTTGTTTTCATTTGAAGAAAACTGCTGCTAATCATAGCGATTACTTGGAGAAGCTTATGGTGAACATGCTCCATCGCAAAAAACGTGTGAACGATGATTTCAGCGTTTCAAAATTGGAGATTTCGATGTTGCAGACAAGGAACACGGAAAACCGCCCAAAAAGAACGAAGACGTGGAATTGCAAGCATTGCTGGATGAAGATGATTCACAAACACAAAAGCAACTCGCAGAGCAATTGAGCGTTAGTCAACAAACTGTTTCCAATCGCCTATGAGAGATGGGAAAGATTCAGAAAGTCGGCAGATGGGTGCCACATGAATTGAACGAGAGATAGAAAGGCGCAAAAACACATGTGAAATTTTGCTCGAACGATACCGAAGAAAGTCATTTTTGCATTGTATCGTTACTGGGGATGAAAAGTGGATTTTTTTTTAGAATTCCAAGCGCAAAAAATCATGGGTAGACCCAGGCGCACCATCCACATCGACCGAATCGCTTTGGCAGGAAGACGATGCTCTGTGGGACCAGAAGGGTGTGGTCTATTATGAGCTATTGAAGCCTGGCGAAACGGTTAATATCAAACGCTATCAACAATAATTGATCGATTTGAATCGTTCGCTGTTTAAAAATCAGAATACCAAAAGAGGCAAGGTCATTTTTTTCCATGACAATCCTTCACATACGGCAAAACCAGTTCGGGACACGTTGGAAGCACTCAGCTGGGTTCTACCTCATGCTTACTCACCAGACTTGGCTCCTTCCGATTACCACTTGTTTGCATCAATGGATCACGCACTTGCTGAGCAGCGCTTTGGTTCGCGGCAAAAGGGGAAGATTTTTACTGGCGTGGTATCCATAAATTGTCCAAAAGATGGAAAAAATGTGTAACTAGCAATGGAGCATACTTTGAATAAATCTCTTTTTATCATTCTTACGAATTTAATGTTTTTTTGGGAAAAAAATCGTCATTTCATACTTGTACACCTGGTGTATATATATATATATATATATATATATGAGTGCGTTATTAATAATATAGATGATATAGATGAACAGCACACTCTACTTTCTTTATTCCTTCATTAGACAATGATTTTTCAGAATAAATTTCCAATTGGAAACCACTTTGATCAGAATTAAAAACATTTTCAGATCCGAACTGTTCGATAAGTAGTTTAACTGTTTTCAGAAAATCAGTTGTATTATGCAAATTAACGGAATTTTCTATTGTTCTTCTAGTTACAAATTTCGTAATTTTTCTCGAAACAATTCGGGACTTTTTGAATCTTAATACCCAACTGTGAGATACCGTAAATATAGGATTTCCTATTTCTTCTTGAGCTTGTAAAGGCCATCTTCGTAAATCGATATCATAAATATCTATACTTTAAATCTTGATTCAACAGCTGTAGTAAATTTATCATGTATAAATTTAGAGATGT